AAAATTTATTATGTGAGTACAAGGAGTACTCAAACCCATTGGCATCATTATGTAAAGTTACATATAAGAGGTAGATAAAAACAAAAATCTCGAGGCAATCCCAAAAAGGAGGCTTAGAATTTTAGCTTTCCATCAAAACTCTATTTCCTATTAGTCAAGCACCTCACTGGATTGGAAATCCATTATACGAAAGAGAAATTTTCTATATTTAACAGAATTCTAACCCAGTGAAATAAATGAGTTTGTACAAGTTCGAATAGCTTATCCTCATTTACCTCCTTTTGTTGGAAAGCAGTTTCATTTCTACTCAACCACAATGACCACACTATGGTTGTCATAACTCAAATTTTAGTAGAATTTTATTTTATTTTTATTTTTACTAATATGTTTTGTCTTTGTTTTACTTGTTAGGTTCATTAAAAAAAAATGGGAGGGCAAAAAGGAAATTTTACGAAAAAAGATTGGAAAAGAAGATGAGAGAAAGGACTCAATTGAAGAAATGGAAAGTTGGAGTGAAATGCAAAGTTAAACCCAAAACCCAAAACCCAAACTCAAGCCCAATTACCCAAAAATCCAAAACCCAAAACCCAAAATCCATTTAACCCAAACCCAAAAAAAAAAAAAAGAGGGGCTGAAAAGGTCCCGTCCTCTCTCTCCTCCAAAACCTTCCTCTTCCCCCTTGCCCTTGCACCCTAGCCTCACACCCGAACCAGTACCCCCTGTGCCCCTACCCCCTCTGCATGCACCGAGCCATCATCGCCCCCTCACACGTTTGCAACCTGTCGTCTGCTAGCAGCCAATCCCCAGCTTCCTCTCCCTTCTGCCCCCCGCCAGCCAACCCAGCCGCCTGCGCCCCTGCTGCCGCGAACCTGCGCCTCTGCCCGCGCCCAGATCCCCTGTTCCTGCGCCCAGCCTTGCTCTGCAGCGAGCCCTGCATCCCTGGCCTCTGTGCGCCTGCTCTCTGCGTCCAATCCCTGCCCTACACCGAGCCTTGCCTTGCACGCTTCTGCTCCCTCTCCTCTGCGCCTCACTACCGGCCATCATGCTCCTACACTAGATCCCGTGCCTTCTACGCCTCCCTTGCACTCTGCGCCCCATTGCCGGCAATGATGCCCTTGCACGCCCGAGCCATCATCAGCACTCCACGCCCCTGCCTCCCTGCACACCACGCCTCACCCCTAATCCCGCGCCTCTGCACCGCTGATTGCTGCAGCCCCCATCATTGCCTCACATGCAGAAGAGACAAGGAGTACCGGACAAATTGGCATCCTCAGGAAATTTTTTTATGTTATTCTTTTTATTTTATTGAATTGTTTGGGTATATATAGAGCAGAAAGCAGGTCTGGAGGGGGGGTCTGTGATTGTGGAGTTTTGGAGTTTGCTTTGGGGGGAGTTTCGAGTTTGATTGTGGGTTATTTTTGCTGATTTTGGGACTGGTTTGGGAGTTCTCCTTTTTGGTGAGCTCTGTCTCCGTCACTGGTGTTGAAGGGCTGGTGATATGTAGAAAAACTTAGAAGTCACGTGCAGGTGGCATATCAGTTACTGTTGGTTTGTGTCAGTTAATATGCTAGTATAAACGTGTTTTGTAACTCTTTGTTGGGTGTTCAGTTATTTTGGTGTTTCTTCAATCTTCTTAAACTCCTCTATAATTCTCTTGTATTCCAGACTTTATTGCAAAGGATATATATCGAAGATCCTTTCTCTTTTGTGGATTTTCCTTGTATTTCTTTGAATTCTGTTTACTGGTATCATTTGGTATCAGAGCAAGTTCCTGGCATCATGGAAACTCGCTTACAAGAACAGAAGAAACTGATTGATGATGTTGTTAAAACAGCTATGGCTGAGATGGGCGGACATTATGAACAACTACTTAAGGCCATGGAGGAAAAGTATGAAAACCAAGTGTCAGATTTGAGAACTCGAATGTCAGGTCTGAATGTGCAACAAAATCAGATCATGGCACAACTTGATACCTCTTCAACTTTTCGAGGATCCCAAATTTATGGAAATTCATCTTCAAATACAGGTATGGGGCCACTTACTTCCAAAACTGCCAAGATAGAATTTCCCAAATTTAATGGTGAAGAATTGAAAGATTGGTTGTATAAATGCAATCAATATTTTAGAATTGATGGTACTCCTGATGAACATAAAGCTCATTTGGCTTCAATAAATCTTGAGGGAAAGGCTATGAAGTGGCATCAATCTTTTTTAGAGATTAAGGGAGAGCAATTGCTTTCAAATTGGGAGGAATATGTTGAGGGCCTTAAGGCTAGATTTGGTGAGAAGGCTTATGAGGATCCCATGTCTGATTTGATTTCACTTAAGCAAACTGGGACAGTGGAGAATTCCAGGAGCAATTTGATACTCTTTTCCCTTGAACTGGAATAAATGAAAAACAAGTAGTGAGTTTTTTCCTCAGTGGATTGAGAAGAGAGATAGAAATTTCAGTGAGGATGTTTAAGCCACAGACTCTTTATGATGCTTATGCTTTAGCCCGGCTACAAGAGTCTTCTATTCAGGAGGCACAAAAGTTAGCTTTAACATGTAAACTTCAACCCAGACCAACTGCACCCTTATTACCTACACCAAACACTCCTCCTCGGACACCTAATGCTACTACAAAAACAATCACTTCTACCAACTCTACCAAATTACCTTACCCAAACACTAGACCATCAAACACCTCTCCCAAACATATTAAGCCCCTTATCAGACAAGAGATGGAGGAGCGAAGGCGAAAAGGATTATGCTATTGGTGTGATGAAAAATTCACCAATGGTCACAAATGCAAAAATATGCAGTTGTTTTCCATTGAAGTTGTTGAGGGTGATGAAGGAGAAGAAGGGGAAGTCTTTGAGGAAGCAATAGAAGAACTTCCAGATGACTCCAATCCACACATGTCTGTTCATGCATTATCTAGAGGTAGCAGTGGAGCTTACCGTACAATGAGGGTAACTGGATATGTGAATAAGAAACCTATTCACATACTCATTGATTCTGGGAGTACTCATAATTTTTTAGATGTTAATGTGGCAAAAAGGGTTGGCTGTAAGTTACAAGCTGTTGAGGCTTTGAAAGTTGATGTAGCTGATGGAAGTTCACTGGAATGTGTCCATATGTGCCAAGATTTTACTTGGTGGTTACAAGGTAAACCATTTCATACGGATACATTAATTTTACCTCTTGGTAGTTGTGATATGGTGTTGGGAATTCAATGGCTAGAGACCTTGGGTGACATTTTGTGGAATTTTAAGACTTTACGCATGGAGTTTGCTGTCAATGGACAAAAGTATGTACTAAGGGGATTCTCTCAGGTGTCTTTAAAGATGGTTGGCAGTAAAGGAATGGTGAGATTGCTTAAAAAAGAAGGACAGGCCAGCTCAATTCATTTATGTAGTCTGATTGTTGATGCTGTCGGAGGACGTGGCACTTGGCAAACTGAAGAAAATAAAGCTGAAAACACTTCCAAGAAAGTTTCAACTTGTTCTGAATTGGAGAAATTATTATTAGAGTATGCTGATCTCTTTGCAGAACCTAAAAGCCTTCCTCCCCACATAGCTCATGATCATAAAATTTGTTTGAAGGCAGGAACTGATCCTATTAATCAAAGGCCATACAGATATGCAGGAGTACAGAAGGATGTCATTGAAAAGATGACTCAAGAATTGTTACAAACGGGTATCATCCAGCACAGTGTAAGTTCTTTTGCTTCACCTGTAGTTCTAGTTAAGAAGAAAGACGGGTCTTGGCGCATGTGTATAGATTACAGAACTCTAAATAAGCAGACTGTGAAGGATAAATATCCCATACCCCTCATTGAAGAGCTGTTAGATGAGTTGCAAGGATCAAAATTTTTTTCTAAGATTGATCTTAGATCGGGATACCATCAAATTAGAATGTATCCACCAGATGTTCCAAAAACAGCTTTCAAAACTCATGAAGGGCATTATGAATATTTAGTCATGCCATTTGGTCTCACCAATGCATCTTCTACTTTTCCATCTCTTATGAATGATATTTTTAGAGTTTACCTTCGAAAATTTGTCTTAGTATTCTTTGATGATATCCTTGTTTACAGTAAGAGCTTGGAAGAGCATATCTGCCATTTGAGACAGGTATTTAAGCTGTTGAAAGATAATGAGCTATTTGCGAAGCAAAGCAAATGTTTCTTTGGTTGTGACAGAATAGAATATCTTGGGCACTATATCTCTGAAGAAGGAGTTTCTACTGATCCTAAGAAGATTTTAGCTGTTCAGCAATGGCCTCAACCGAAGACTGTTAAGGAATTGAGGGGATTTCTCGGTTTGACAGGATATTATCGAAGGTTTATTCGGAATTATGGGAGTTTGAGTAAACCTTTGACAGAATTGCTAAAAAAAGAGGGGTTTCATTGGTCAAGGGAGGCTAGTGAAGCTTTTGAATCCCTTAAGCATGCTGTGACAACAACTCCAGTGTTGGTTTTGCCAAATTTTTCCAAGGAGTTTGTAGTGGAGACCGATGCTTCTAATGCTGGAATTGGTGCTGTTCTTTTACAACAAGGGCATCCAATAGCCTTTATCAGCAAGGCTTTGTCCTTAAGACATCAAAGTTTATCAGTTTATGAAAAGGAGTTGTTAGCTCTAATTTATGCAGTGCATAAGTGGTCACATTATTTGACTGGAAGGCACTTTATCGTCAAAACAGATCACCAGAGTTTGAAGTATCTTTTAGAGCAAAGGATTAGCACTCCTTTACAGCAAGCTTGGTTGGCTAAATTAATGGGCTATGATTTTTCAATTAGCTATAAAAAGGGAAAAGAAAATGTGGTAGCGAATGCCCTTTCTCGAGTGTCCAGTAACCAGCTCATGCAAATGGCAGTCTCTAGGATTCTTCCTGGTATTTATGAAGAGGTGAGACTTAGCTGGGAAGTTGATCCAATGCTTCGGGAAATCTGTAATAAATTACAGCAAGGTTCTTTAAGGGATTCTGCTTACACTTGGGCTGAAGGACAACTAAGACGAAAAGGCGGATTAGTTGTGGGAAATAATGCTGCTCTTAGGAGGAAGTTGATTCATTTGGTGCATGATAGTGCAATGGGAGGTCACTCTGGAATTCAAGCTTCCACAAAAAGGCTTGCGCTTTTGTTTTATTGGAAAGGCTTAGAGAAAGATGTGAGGCAGTACATAAGACAGTGTGATGTATGTCAGCGTTACAAACCAGAAAATACTCCAACTCCAGGGCTATTGCAACCTCTGCCAATTCCTGAAGCAATTTGGACTCAAGTCAGTATGGATTTCATTACAGGCCCTCCAAAATCTTATGGAAAAGATGTTATCTTTGTTGTTGTTGATAGACTTACAAAATATGCACATTTCATTGCCTTACAACATCCTTACTCAACTCTTACTGTTGCACAAGCTTACATGGACAATGTCTTTAAGTTGCATGGATTGCCTCAAGAAATTGTATCTGACAAGGATCCCATTTTTCCTAGTAATTTTTGGCAGGAGTTGTTCAAACTCCAGGGGGTTGAACTGCAATGTTCTTCTACTTATCATCCTCAAACTGATGGGCAAACAGAAGTGGTGAATAGGTGTCTTGAAAATTATTTGAGGTGCATGACTGGTGATTGTCCGACGGAGTGGAGCAAGTGGTTACCTCTTGCTGAGTGGTGGTATAACACTAATTTTCATACTGCTACCCAAATTTCTCCATTTGAGGCTTTGTATGGATTTCCACCACCATTGCATATAGTTTATGTACCTGGAGATTCAGATGTTGCAGCTGTTGATCAAAGTTTGCAAGCTCGGGAAGCTATGTTGAAGGTATTGAAATTTCACCTCACTCGAGCACAGCACAGAATGGTACAGCAAGCTAACAAGCATAGACAAGAACGACAATTTGCCATTGGAGATTGGGGGTATCTCAAACTTCAACCATATAGACAAGAATCTATGCAATCTAGGCCATCTCACAAACTTGCTGCTAAATATTTTGGCCAATTTCAAGTGATTGATAAAGTGAGTAAGGTAGCATATAAATTAGCCTTGCCTGATTCATCTCAGATACATCCAGTAATTCATGTGTCACAGCTAAAGAAAAAGGTTGGAGCAGAAATTCAGGTGACTAGTCAATTTCCTGTGGATTTGCCCTTACCAATGATGATAGAGCCTGTAGCTGTTTTGGGAAGAAAAATGGTGAAGCGAGGAAATCGAGCTGCTACTAAGGTGTTAGTCCAATGGTCTCATGCTTAACCTGAAGATGCTACTTGGGAGTATCTCTACGATATTCAACAACGATTTCCAAATTTCCATCCTTGAGGACAAGGATGTTTTTGAGGGGAAGGAATTGATATGTAGAAAAACTTAGAAGTCACGTGCAGGTGGCATATCAGTTACTGTTGGTTTGTGTCAGTTAATATGCTAGTATAAACGTGTTTTGTAACTCTTTGTTGGGTGTTCAGTTATTTTGGTGTTTCTTCAATCTTCTTAAACTCCTCTATAATTCTCTTGTATTCCAGACTTTATTGCAAAGGATATATATCGAAGATCCTTTCTCTTTTGTGGATTTTCCTTGTATTTCTTTGAATTCTGTTTACTGGTATCAACTGGTTCGAGAGTGTAGATTTGGGAGAGTGCAACAACGGCTTAAGGAAAAAGGGAAACGTTTTCTGGGTTTGCCTTAGGTAATTTCTAAACAGAGGAATTTTTGGGAAGAGCCGTGAGGGAGAAGAAGGGAGCTTGATCCCGTGGGTGGGATCCCTCCCTTTAGATCTCAATCTGCTTTTTTTCCAGAAATTTCACCTTGTTTGATTCTGATTGCCATAGAGTTTTGCTTTATTAAAACTGTACTAGATGATGATACTGCAAATGAAATCAAGCATATTTGTTGAATTTCATGGATCTGAATTGGAATGGATGTTTACTTGCTTTCTTTGTTCTGTTTTGTTGGATGGCTAAACAGAAAATCCAGATCCTTTCTGTTTTTGTCCAGATTTCATTTTGGTCTAGGTTTTAATCTATTTTTGCCCACTTTGATTGATGGGTTCGTGTTTTTGGATGGATCAACTTGACCCAATCCAATAAAAAAAACTAAAAAGATTAAAAAGTAAAAAAAAATCAGAAGTTATCTCTTTTTTTTCAATTTCGCACAATCTTTTCATGTTCAAGCATTTTAGTCCAAAAGTTTCAAACTTTTTCAAATCAGTCCTTCATTTTTTTTATTTTAATCAAATCAGTCCATTTAATTTTTATTTGTGTTTATTGTGCATGCATGTTCTTGATTGTCTATTTCATTCCAAAAATAAAATAAAAAATATTTTGATTCAGTTTATCTCTTTTTTCAAGTTTGCTTTTTAAGACTCAAACATAAACATAAACATAATAAATAAGTTGAATTAAAACCCCAATTTTAAAGTATGCAACCGTGTTTAAACGGAGGATTGTGAGGTGCGCGTATGCTCTTCCTCACTCCTAACTGAACCCCCGAACCTCGATCTTTGCGTAGACTCGTTTTAGGTGATTTGTCCCACTTTATAATTTGGACGAGTGGCGACTCCCTCTTTTTTATATTTTCACACTTAATGATTTTCAATTTATTCTGAAAAAAATCTTAAGTGATTGTCAACAATGGCAAACCATAACATGCTCTAGCCCTTTTTCAGAATTTTTGAGCCCTTATGCCATCTATGCTGGTTCAAAACAACAAGACATGTATCTCCAAGAACATAATATAATACCCACCAATTTAGACATTTAGTCCATAATTTGAATGAGATATTGCAAGACACAAAAAGATGATTTGAGTTTCCAAGAAATTGGTCACACCAAAAACATTTTATACCTTGGTTGGCATCTAGATTCATGTAACATCAATATAATATATACATTCATGTAAACTAGTCAAAACTCCACTATAAATCACTAAATCTAAATGTTAAATATTTTTAGCATAATAACTTTTCTAACTTATGTAACATTTTTAGCTATTTCTACATTCATTTCACTTCTAATATGATATTCATAAAAGGAAAATCTCCAGCAATCTTCTTCTTGATCATCTTTAGAACTCTAATTGAAAATTGCAACTCCAAATTTGACAATAGAAATTTGCCCATAACTACATAACCCAAGCAATAATAATATTGATGAGTATAAAACAATATTTATTGACATTGACATATAACATCATTAACAAATTGTAATAATCACTACATGAAAAACTTTCAAAATCAATGAGAAGATATTTACCCAAAAGGATGCATTGAGTTGTAGTTCGCTTTAGCACAAAAGCTCAAAACAATCACTGCATAAAATGTAATAAGTGAATTAGTTTTATTTAATTTGTCCATGAGAGTCACAAACAATGGTGATATTAGCCATGAAATTCATAAACATATCAAAATATTTGAAAAGAGAAATAAAGTTAAAAAAACCAACACAATCTAAATCTACTTTAAATGAAAGGAACTAAAGGGAAGTCTAAAAAAAAGATAATATGATAACAAAGGTAATAGAATAACCTGAGAAAGAAATAATCTACTTTAAGATGGTCTAGTCAACACACTCTAAGCAATTTGCAAGATGGTAAGATTAACCTATTCACCAATCCTACAAACATTCACATGACAACAAAATGAGACAGAAATATCAAAACCATTTTCTCCAAGTAGTCAGGGTAAGTAGAACAAAGTCATAGCCATAATAATTCTGAACAAAATCTTCTAAAGTAAAAGTAACAAAGTAGAAAAAGAGCAAAGCAAACAAACCAATCTCTATGCCAAGGTCAGAGTTCTTGAGCAACCAATACTCACAAGCCTTGCCTTTAAAGAAAAAAAAAAAGAGTCAATGGTAGAGACGAAAAAAAATCTAAAAAGTTAGTAATTCGGAGCTTACCTTAAACAACTTTGTAATTTCAAAATTAGCATATTTTTGCTATGGTGAAGTGTAGTGACCAAATCTAGAGAAATCACCAAAGGTAGAGAGGCAGTGGAGGGACAAGTAAATTAACTTAACATACCTCCAAAACATGCTTCACTACCGAAGCCCCACAGTACCTCAGAGCCTCGTCCCGTGCGTGACGCTTGTCCACTTCCGGGAAGGTGGAATTGATGAACCTCCTGGCCCCCCGTCATGTTCTTCGCCTCGAACAGGCTACCATGAAAGGACAACGGGGGAACAAGGCCCTCTCCCTTGCCAGGAGCTCGTACCTCAGCCCCCTCTTCAAATTCCTTGAGCCCAGGGTCGAGCTCAACAGGAAGAGGCTGAAGCACGAACTGGGGAACCTCGCTCCCCCTCTCCTCTTCTTCCACCACCCTCTTCTTCTTCTGTAGTGCCCCTCCCTCCTCCCTACCCTTTCTTTTCAACTCCAGCCTTGGCACCTCTTCCTCCACCCCGGCTAAAGTGCTGGGCACTACCTCCCTTCCAACTCCTCCCTCATCCACTTGCTTCGTTGAAGTCTTTGACTTCTTCCTTGGCTTCTTGGGGATGGCAACACCTCCAGCAGCGCCCAAGAATTTGTCCATTTTAGCTACAGAACAAGAAAACACAGTATCAATTACACAGCTCTATACTCTACATTAAACATTACAATATACAATTTAAACAAACCTTCACTCAAAGCGCTTGGCCCATAGAGCTCAGTAGCTTCTATGCATTCGGCGTTGGTGAGGTACATGATGTTCACTAACTTTCCCCCCTCCCTCACCAACTTCCCCACCTCTTCCTCCTCATCCTCATTTAGACTAAATTTATTCTAGTTGGCCCTCTTAGCCTTCCAGGATGACAACTCCTCCACCTCAGCATCCCCCCTCTCCCACTCAGTATCATCTATAAAAAAGAATTTTTCCTTCCATCCTTTAATGGATGAAGGACCCGCAGTAAATAAAGCTCTACTTTCCCTATTTGCTACCCTATGGGTGAAATAATACCACCCCTTATCCTTCCTACTACCCCATTTAAAACAAAAAAATACTTAAACATATTTACAGTTGGCACATTAATCCCCTAAGCTTGGCAATAAACTAAAAATCCTATTATTACCCTCATAACGTTGAGGACTAACTGTGTCAACCCTATGTTGTAATCTAAGAGAAGACCTACTAGCAACTCAAGAATTGGAAACCTAAGCTCGGCTGCTAAATAGTGGGCATACACAGGCATCCAATGATCCCGAGGAGCAGAACACACCCTCTCCTCTACCCCCAGCTGGCCTAATTAACACTCGGGAGAAAATCTCATAACTTTCCACCAAATACCCCATGCTATCCCTGGTCCCGAGCTCAGACTCATACTGTTTCACCTCCTCCACTATGTCTGCATCTACATCATAGCACCTCTCTCTCCTACCCTCCACTTCTACCATAGTGATGGGTACACTATCTCCCTCAACCCCAACTACCTCCCCTCCTCCCACTCCCTCCACTGTCCTTTCCGAACTAGATGGACTACTTTTTGAGTCCATCCCACCATACTCCAAAGGCATTACCTCACTTCCTACAACACTTACTGTTTCTTCCAAAGACATTTTTTCAATTTCTGCACAAAGTAGGGGAAGGAATGAAGTCAGGACCCCTTAAAAAAAAAAAAAAAAAAAAACTCTTTAACGCACACTCAAAATCATTCTCACTCCCAACCTTAACTTCCTTCCGAGGACTCAAAATCAAACACAGAAAG